GCCTCGCAGACGCATCAGCGCGGGTCGTGCTGCGAGAGGGGGAAGGCCCGGCGTTGCTGATGTCCGTTAGCCGTTCAACGGTCACGTTGGGCAGAGCGGCTGTAAGAGCTACGGCTTGTGCAGAGATATTCAGACATCAAATGGAAAGAGGTGGATTTCCCAGCAGGGGTTGTAGAGATCGTAGGGGAAAATGATTCAATTTAATTGTGGGTTGTTGCTAAAAAGTCTTCTGCTTTTATTTTCCCTGCCTGCCCCTGCGCTGTCCCCAGGCTTGCAGTCAGTGTAAGCATCTGACCTGGCTGAATACTAAACCTACCATTTTTTTTTTTTCCAAAGTTTGGCGGGTTTTTTTAAGCTTTTCCAGTTCTCTGACTATGTAAACACTGCTGCCAGCACCGGGAGTTCAAAATGCTTAGAGAGTAAGGCCATCTATTTTTACAGCAGCTTTCAGTTAAATTGTCTCCAAAGGATTCATTTGTTAGTAAGCATATGAACATAAACGTATTAAACATATAAACATAATAAACAGCGCCTGGAGACCTAATCTCACTGTGATCTCTGATGTGTAGGTGTCAAATAACAGAAGATTATTCTGTCTGAAACTATAATCTGAGTATGGAGAGAAGAGGGCTGGGAAAGGAGTGCGATCAAGTATGTTTTATTGCACCTTATTTTTGTATTCTCCCCTTTATGACCTAGGTTTATCATAATATTTTTTTTCTGCTAGAACAGATTACTTAAATACTAGTGAAGATGAGCAGCCACTTAAATACAAATATGGGAATAATGTGTACACCTGTTCATATATGAAATTCAGGCTAATATAATTAAGCATGCGATTAAGAAACAAGAGTTTATCCTATAACAGCTGGTTTTGTTACTTAGGTCTCAGATTATCAACACGATGTCAAGAATTTTCAAAAATCTTGTTTTCAGGTTGTTTTAGTGACTAGAACACAATTCTTGAATTTTGTTGCTGATTTCTTTAATAAATATTTCAGAAAAGGTGGGAGTTGGAGGTTTTTTGCTTGAGGCACAACCTGTAGAATTTAGAAGCAGTGCCTGTTCGGTTCAGCTAATTGATTAGAGAAGGGACATTGTTAATCACTAGCTGTGCCTTTGCTATGACCATCTGCTATTGTAAGCAGACAGAATTTTTCAAACTGGCTCAAGTATTTTGCCTTTTGAGCAGACAGAGCAAAGGAAATGCGTAATCTGCGATATACACCCCTCAGATTTATGTGAGTCCTTGCTCTGCACCTAGTGCTGCCTTAACAAATCCCTTTTGCTCCCAGCTGGTTATGATTCTGCATTTCTGAATCTTGTTGATAACTTTTCTGCCCCAAACTGACCTACTTGTTTGTCGGTTTCATGGATTTCTGTCTTGTCCTTCACTTTGAGATCTCTTTGAAGGAAGGATTGTTGTTTTCTGTATGCTTGTGGATCACCAGCAACAATCTGTTTTGTGTGAGCTTTAATCTAAATGTTAAGTAATAATTTTATTATTGCTCTAACATCTGTCTGTTGTGCATAGGTCTTTAGTGTCTACAGGGGGAACAAGCAACAAATCTAAATACTTTGTTCTTTTTAATAGCCTCTGGGATAAAGTTAGGTGTCATACCACAACCACAGAGTGATTTATGCCTCCCTACTTTAGACTGGAGTGAATTAGCATTTAATCAGGTTGTTCTTTTACTTGTCGTCCCTAGCATAAAGTGATATACGCAAGAAACACTCCACAGGGTGATAATAACCCAGATTGGGTCTGTAATATTGATTTTATACATGTAGTGAAGCTTTGCATGCCACAAGAACATAATATGCACTTTCACTGCCAAATTTTCCCCTTGGGCCAGATTTGGACTATCTGCACTGGTCACAAGAGGAGCTTTGAAAGTGCGTTGTCTGTAGTAATGAGCTGTCCTGGGATAAACTGCAGTTCTGACATAAGGCTTCCTCCACTACAGTAATCCCATTGTGGAGTTGTCCCAAAAGTATATTGCTGGATGCCTGGTTATGTGCATGTTTTTTGCTGCTAGAGAAGATTTTACTTTTTCATTTTTCAAGATATAACTTAGTACGCAAATATGAGAGTTTACCAATGCAAAACATGAAGCAGACATAAGGAAATGACTCATGCTTAGTTAGTACTCTTGGGGAAAAAGACATTTTTAAAAACTTGTTAGTGGAGATTATTCTGTCATTGTGATATTACTCTGAGATAGAACTTCATGTATATCTTTATACATGCAAGACGGGTTTTGGTTTGTATTGATTCCTTCTTTAGCTTAAATACTAAAAGTCAGTTATTGGAACCAGAAGTTCAGATCGTTGCTGTCTATGACATGTTATACTGTGTGGGAGATGCAGGAGTAGAATAATCATCTCATTCCTGAATGATATAGTCAGCTGAGAACTCTTTGTTATATGTGGAATGGTAGGATTCCCTTCCTGCTCCTTCGTGCCTCATTTTCAGTGTGTTTACATTGGAATTCATTTGCCAATGTTTGTCTGCACTGAATTTCATATGCCATTACTGTTATCTAAAGTGAACTTTACGTGATGTCTGAAGACTTTATTTTTTCATGCTTGATTATAAGTATCTTTTTTTTTTCATGTAATTGTATTTTCTTAGACCCAAACAAGACCATAAATTATTAAATACAGAAGGCTGAACTTCCTTTTTTTGCTATTCCATAAAGCGTTGAAGTATTTTTGCTGATATGTTGACAAGGAAGAACAGCAGCATTCTTAAGGGGGTTATATGTCAATATTCATTTGCTGATAATTAGAGAAATGTATACTTGGTATATTGCTTGAGTATAATGTCTCTTAGCTGTTTATATAAAAAACTAAGACCCAGTGTGTTACTTTAAATGTATTACAGATGGGCTGGAAAATGTACAGCAAAAGAAAATCTTTGAAGAGAATAAGGAAAGGACACAACAGAGAGAAGAGCCATGTCCTGCTGATTCAGTAGAATCTCTGATGGCAGAAATGCCGTTTGTCGACACAGATATTGAAGATGAATTTGTTAGTAAGTATATTAGACAGAAGTAGTGTGGAAGCATACACTCATCACACACTCAGTTCTTGGTCCTGCCTGTTGGCATGTACAAGTGGGCTGTGCGCGTGGAACAGAGTCTGCCTGTGAACAGGATCCAGTCCAGAGCCTCTCTTATTAGTACGCAGTCCTGCAAATACTGGAGTGTATTAAAAATTTAGCATTTTGTGATCCATTGCAGCAATGAATCACAAAATAAAGACCTCTCGTATGTCAATTCACATTACTGTATATGAGCTTCTCACGTGGTGGCTTTTATGAGCTGTCTTCCAATATGTGTATTCCCAGCATGTGGCTATAAGTGCACCTCTAATTGGATTAGTGGATGTCTGCAGCCTGGTCAGTTTATGGGTATGTATCAGGCCACATGGTGGGAGAGGGTCTGCAAAGTCTTGAGGAAATAAGCTGGGGGAAAAATAATTTATGATGCAAAGGAAGAATTGAGGACATGCACTTTCCTTTCGCTATCGATGTTGGAAGGGGTCTTTGGGAAAGGAGGAGGTAGAGAGATCTGGCTTGGATTAAATTTTCTTCTGGGCTGGGTTTGGTCCTTGAACTATAGGTTGGCCAGTCCTAGCCTAATACAACCTTTAATAATCCTATGTATTATCTTGTTTTATGTTGCAAAATGCAGCGTGCATGGGATTTTTGAAACTTAATATTGGTGCTTTTGCTCTAGTGTCACATCTATGTTCAAGTGTAGACAATTTGCAGGCCTATTCCACTGCAGTGTGAGTTGGCTAAATGAAACACAGCAGTTTGGAAGCTGCCTGTCTATGTTAGCAGCTTATAAGCCCTGCTTAGAGGTGCAGGCTGTTAGTTCAAGTATGGTACTCTACTTGTGTGACTACATTAATTCAGGTTGGAGTAGGATTCCAATCAGACAGTTCAGAGCATGGGCAGATCAGATGACTGGGAAGACATGCTCCAGTCAGTTGACTGAAGTCCAGCTCCTGTTGGCATGATATTAAGTACATCTTTGTTTTGATTTGTCTGTATGCTGAAAGTAATTTTTTTTTTCTCTTCAGTGCATGCAACCTCTGAATTAAATATAAAAAAGAAAAGAAAGAGGACTACTGGAAGGGAAATTGAAGAAGGCAGTGAGAGAAAGAAGAAAAAGAAAAAACAGTATCAGCCGAATTATTTCGTTTCTCTTCCAATTACTAATCCAGAGGTGATATTCTTTATTATACTGATTTGGTATAATGAGAATTACTTCAATAGCTGCATGTATTTATAAGAAGAACAGTATTTGGTCTTGAGCAATATTTTTTTGATTTGGTATAATGAGAATTACTTCAATAGCTGCATGTATTTATAAGAAGAACAGTATTTGGTCTTGAGCAAAATATTTTTTTTCAGGTATTTTTAAAGGAACATTAGCAGCCTATTCAAAGAGTAACTTTATTTTATGTAACATTTTTGTGAATAAAATTGCTTATCTGGAAAAGACTAGAGGAAAAATATTTATCTTTTTATGCAGTTTGTCAGTCTTACGGATTTGACATTATTTTGACTGAAGCTGGCTTAAATTTCCCCTCTGTACTGTTCCAGTATTGCTTATTTTGTCATTCACTTAGAATAAGGAAGAGAGAAATTCTTATTTAATTTAATAAAATCCCTAGCAATATTTTTAGCTCTCCTTATAGATAGGAATTTAAATTTGGATCTGTTGCTGTTTTAACAAGGCAGTTTGTAGTTTAACATTCTCCAGTAAAATTGATCATCTTATTTAAAATTCAAACAACCTATTGTTTTAGTGAAATGTTCAAATGGATTCAAGAAGTGCAGAGAGCTCTTTAAGAAGACGTATTTTCTCGTAGTTAGCATGTGTTGTCTCGTTTACACAGTGAATGAGAATAAGTTCTTACATGCTGTGGGATGTCTCTGATACAGCTTTGACACCTTTTGTGTCTGCAAACAAGGAAAGTAGGTGCATTATGTTTAAAAAGTTAAACCCAACAGTTTACCACCATTTCCAAAGCTAGGTTTATTTTTTAATACCAGGAGCTATCTCAGGTGAATTTTCCATCTGTACTAGCTGTTCTCTGAGAAAGTCAAAGATTAAGAGAATCCGAAATGAAAATAAACCAAAGTAGGTTTGAAAATTACAGTGCAATCTTTGATTCTTCAAAATATACTATGTGAAGAAGAGATTGTAGAGGCTGGTTTTATAAGATCCAGATAGCCTGACACGAACGTAGTGGGAGATCTTTTGTGCCATCTTACTCTGAAATGTAGAATCATAGAATCATAGAAAAGGTTGGAAAAGACCTCTAAGATCATCGAGTCCAACCGTCAACCCAACACCACCATGCCCACTAAACCATGTCCCTAAAAATATCTTTTCTTCCTGTCTGTTCCGTGATTTAACAAGTGCAGGAATAATGTAGGGGTTATATAATCTGATAATTGAGAATTCCTGCTCACGATTGTTGTTGTATTGAATGGCTGGTTGAGTGGAAAAGTCTTAACTATGCATGCTTTTTTATATGTCACGTATTTAGTCTTATATCATTTACAGAGGTAAGGGAACAACTATATTAAAATCTCAGAGCATTTGGGAATTCCAGGACTTTGCCAGAAAGTTTTGTTTATGCTTGCCTTAGATGTAGAGTTGTTCTGAAAGTAGAAAATACATGTTGGAATTTGTATAGGCAACATTAGCCAAAATTTAGACTTAAGACACCTGGTTTCTTGATAGCCAGAGGGTATCTGGTAATTACTGGTAGTATTTCAGTTAGTAATGAGAGACCTTTCTTTTTTTGAGGATCTGATTTTACTCTAGTGACATGTTTTAGGCATTAGTACTCTTTCTCCATATTTCATGTAGTATTTTAAGCTTTACACAGAGAACCATTTTGTAATAAGGGATATTTCTGGAACATTTAATGAACTGTTCCTCTTAGAAATTAAACAGTTTCCTCGTTTTCATTTTAATTATGTTTTGAATCTTCAGAAATCAAATGTGGTGTTCTATTAATTTTGAATTTATATTGATCTTTGCATTATTACTTGTGCAAAAATAGTTAAATGGATGTTTACCTTTGTATCCTTTTCTGGTATTTTTTTTTTAAGTTATGTTTCATCTGATGTGTTATCACTTGGTAGGTTAGTCTTTCAGGGTCCTCCAGTCTTGATTATGATTATAATTAATCTGTTAAATCTTTAAAGCTTTATATTCCTTTATATTCAACCTTTATATTCACTGTCTAGTAGTATCCTTGCAATAAGCAAAACTAAGTTATTTTATTACTCTTCAGAATAACATATTCCAAGTAATGGGAGAGGGGACCTTGAAATCAGTATCTGAGGCCTTATTTTGGAGCACTTTTAAAAATAATCTGAGAGGGGGGAATATGATCTGCCTTGAGACATTTCTTTTAGTTAAATTAGGAAATCTCAAGTTAAAAGAAGTAGTCAGCATGATAGCAGTTGAAATGTAACATAAAACTTTGTAAGGAAATGTAAATAGCAGGTTAAATAGCAATTTAAAGTTTTTATTTATGCAGTGGGTCATAACTAGTTATACAGAGATGTAGGAAGAGTCCTGGTTCGCTTAATTAAAATTCAGTGCACTCAACTGTTAATTGCACCTTAGATTTATTGAAGAAAACAGAACGAATCTGAACTTATATTATGCATTGTGATGGCACAGCTATGCTATAGCTATTGTGTTACGTTTTGATCACATAACTTCTGCGAAAACAAAAATAAATTCCTGAAATTCACAAAAATGTACTTGAAAACTTTTTTTCTTCTCTCCAAATAGTGTAGATTGTGTAGAATGTTGTCATTTAGCCAGAGAGAGAGAACGTGCTCTTCTTTCTATTTTGCCTTTATCAAAAAGGCAGCTCATTTCATGCTTTCCTGGTGGGTTCAGCAATAGCTTGTCTCTGGAACTGCTAACAGGCCATCTTTGGAATTAATCCTGTTCCAAAGGTATGTTATTCGTTAGGTTTTTAGCTTGGTTTCCTAATGAAGTTTATACAGGTGTGAGCCTGCCTATCTGTTTGCCTTGTTATAACCCCGCTGGGTTTTTGTGGGTTTTGAACCTGCTGTGGGTTTTCAACTACTTGTCCAAATTTGGATAAAAAAATTGACATCTTGGAAGTACTAATTTCCTACAATTTTTGTGGAATTGGTACTTGCGTAAAAGAGAGAGCCTTGAAAGAACATGCTTGTGTTGAAGACTGTAGTGTGAGTGTGGAAATTACCTATTCTTCTAGACCTGCCAGCTGACGAATGAATATCTGCATGTTTGTTAGCCAGTCAACCCCTTATAGCTGAAAATCAGCCACAGCATGTGCTGCTTCTTGCCCAAGCCAGAACTGAACTATATGAGGGAGCTGGAGGTGGTTTAGGACATGAGCAGGAAGGGACTCGGAAGTACTACTGAAGGAAACTATATGGGTATGGGGATGTGGGGTATTGGCTGCTAATCTGAATGCTTGATAACATTGATCTTTTTCAGAGGTAGGATGGTCTTACCTCTATGATAACACAGTTCCACACCTGTCTTCTGTATTCTGAAGGACTTGTACACTTACATTTATACTTTTTTTTTTCTTTGCCAGCTCTCAGGTGGAAATCAAATTTAGAAGCTGTAGTTGAAAATGGAATAAAATTGTAATTTATATGATAGGTGATTTCATTTTTGAGTTTTTTTTTTTCTTTATGGGGATAACTGCATTTGCTTTAGTTTATAAACTTAAATAATTATGCAGTCAATACATTGTAATTACCAGGGATTATGTTTACCAGTTTTTTGCTTAAATGTGGGTTAAATTTCTCCTACACCTGAGACAATAAATGCGTTATTTATCCAGGATAAGATCAGTTCTGACATATAAAGGAAGATGGTCTTATTACAACATGATGTATGATCAAAATGTTGGTGCGTTTTGGTTTCTTCATATGTCTTACACTACCTAAGACACTTGTGGTTTTGTAGATGCTATATCACCTTTTTCTGGCAAGTGGCTTTTACCTTCCTTCCTCCTCCCTACCCTCCCTAGAGTTGGTTCCTTTCAGTTATAATTTGGTTTTATTTATATGGCACTACTAGATATCTGTGGCACATTAGGTAAAACTCCTGCATGGCAAAACTCATCTTAAGAAATTCGGTCAGAAAAGTACTGTCCACTCCCACTAGATTGTGTTTTTTCAGGAAATTTATGTGTTCCTTACGATTAACAGAGCTACCAAAATATATCAAGGCTGATTTGTCTGTAATGTCTTTGCTTACCATGCTTTCAGAAATAATTCACTTTGTCAGATCGTCAAGGTTATTGGATACGATTTGATTTCCACCAACATAGTCAAGAATTGTTGCAGGTTTGGTTTTTTGGGGTTTGGTGTGTTTTTGGGGTTTTTTTTAATCACTGCAATACAACTATCATAATGGCAAGCACAGTAAACACTTTGGATACAATTTATAAAGCATGTATAACCATACAAATAATTTTCAATGAAGAAAATGTAATTCAAATAATTTTAAAGAAGATGACTGATGAAGTTAGAACTGTATACATGTTGTATGGAAATTCATTAAAATATGCTTGAAGAGAGTATATAAATTATATCTGTCTGTTGGACAGGATAATCAGAATTGTAAATTGGATATCCCTACAAATTATTTACTGAATATTCCTGTTTTGTATGTGCCCGATCCTGCGAAGATTTCTTTTTCCAGACACCTGTCTGCACATAGCAACATACAAGTTTAGCAAAGCAGGCAGAGAAAGTCCTTGAAGAAGCCTTTTATTTGGATTACTGGCAGTGTAAAACTGGATGATCTTAATCTGCTTCAGACATTTATCATACTTAGGGAAGCAAACTCCTATTAAGATGTGATAGGGAGTGTCCAGTGATTTATTAATCACTCCATTCGTACCCACTTTGAGCTTACTCAGGTCAATTAGCACAGCTTTGTCAGAAGATAAAATTTTCTTCTGCTAGAATGGTTTTTACATAAACGTTTGATTTCAGTTTGTGTGCTTTCTTGTTCACTTGCATGATGGGATACAGTAATTGTGATGGCTAACTGTTGTTTCTGTGTCGGTCTTTCTGCCCAGATTACTGGCAATATTCAGGCTGTCCAAGATGCAGTAACACAAAAGGATCAAAGGCTTTCCAAAGCGATGGTTCACTCTGGCTCATTGCATGTCACCATGTTAGTGATGCATTTATCCAACGAAGAAGAAATTAGCATGTAGGTATTTGGCGCTAAATTAAGTATGTACAAATATTTTTGCTGGAGGAGTTCATAAAAAGACTGGAAGGGATAACTGATGCTTATTTTTTGTCAGCCCTAAATTACTAGGGTTACTGAACATTTAATTCATGTCGTTCTTAAAATGCTAATCTTAGTATTAGCCATTTTCATAACTTATGGTATGTCATGAGCTCTGAACAAAGTATGCTATTTTCCCTTGCATTTTTCATACTGTGTGCTGAACTTGCATGCACAAAGCTCATGTTTGCTAAAGTAACTATTTTAAAACAATGTTTCAATATAGGGGACACTGAACAGATTAACGGGAATTTTCAGAATTTCATAGTTTAGCAAATGTTATAAGCCAAATTAGTAATTGTCACCGAAAGACTTTAAAGTAAATCTTAGCTCCAAGCTAATGCCTCATGCAGTTATAGGTTTTTTTAATGTCCCTAAATGAATTTATTATACTCAAAATTTAAGTACACTAAAAGAGAGGTGGCTATTAGGCTTTATCAAAAGTGTAATTTTTGTGTTGCTTCAGTGATACAGCTGATTTTTTTTGTCATATAAAAGGTAGAAAAGTTGTGGAAAGACGTATGTATTATACAATGACGTCATGTCTAAGTGTTAGATGCGACTACTTGCTTTATAAAAATGCAGTTCTTTGGTGTTTTTTACTGTTTATCACATGTACTGACATGTCTGACAAGCCTACTTTAACATACAAGTTCAGTGGTTTATATGAAGATGTTCAGACTTTTAAGTCTATCTATACAGCTGTAATTTATTAATGTTCAGAATAACAATTTGTTTGTCTAGCTGTGATTTTGACTTGAAATGAAAGCATACATTGTATTTTATAGTCCTGCTTTGCTTTACACAGACATTCTCAACAGTTTCTATTTAGGTGCGGTGCCCAAAATATGGCCTGCATATGCTGTGTCTCTATATTTGCACATTGTAAGTGCAGAATTGAGATTGCAAACACTTTGGTGACTGTAACAGAGTATTGTGTAATATGCTGATAAATGGCCTACTGGCATTATATGAACATCTGGGAATCCTCCATTGCTTATGTGTCAATTTTGTAGTGAATTGCTAATGAATCAAATTAATCAAAAATTCATCAGATCCTTATAACTGTGAAAGAGAAGACTCATGGTTTCATCTCCCCCAGATGAGTTCTTTCAGGGGCCCTCTCATCTCTCTCTCTCTCTCTCTCTCTTACTGGTTTTCTCTGCAGTATTAGCAGGCATGCGGCCTATGTACTGAATTATCTAGATCAAATAATGAATAAGTGCAGTGAGACATTGCTTTGGTTATGGTAATACAGTTACAAAATAATGTGTCTAAAAAGTGTGTGTTGAATAATTTTTCCCCCCAGAAGGTTTGGCTGTTAAAGTGCAGATTTGTCATAAGAAAGCGAGAATCCAAGATAGAATGTAGGAACCATTTGGTAATCAAGGGCATGCTTCTAATAAGTAGAAGTATTTTGGCTAAAAACATTTAACACACCTAAAAATAATGAGGTATCAGTATATCTAAATCAATTGCCCTGCTGGTATTTCACACTTGTTTCCTTGAATGCTATATCCTTGAGGCCTCTACACTCTTACCTCTCCTGTGAGGTTGTGAGTCTGTCAGCATCCTCGTCTCCAACAGTCTGATCTAAAGGGAGAGGAACAGATAGTCAGGAACAGAGAACAGAAAGGAAAGCAAAGGATACTAGATCTGCTGGACTTCCTCTCCTTTCCATGTGCCTTTTGTCTCCTGGAGTAGGCACACCAGCTTCCTCCTGCCCTGGTTGATGAGCAAACTGTGGTAGCACCTGAAAATCAGTGAGAACAACCACTGACTGTGTATGCAAGATTTTTTTAAAAAGGGTTCGAAAAGGGAATGTGAGAGGATATCTCAAAGGCAAGTATGCCTCCTCAGGAATATTTTTTAGAGTCCTAAACTGTATATCAAAACAAATATTCCCAAATTCAGTATCTTCTGCTACTCTTTGAGCTCCTCAGCTCTCACTGTCCGACTGCCACCCAAGCACACACTTACGGAGTTCTTCTCTGCCTCTCCCAGCAGAACTCCACAGTCCAGGCACCCAGGAGCTGTCCTCTAGTCAGCAGCAGCTTCCCCAGTGATTCACCCCTTCCCTGGCCAGATGCCTCCTACAGGTATCTAGCTCAGCTATCCTCAGGTATTCTAGATTGCATTTTTTATTATACGGGATTCTTTTTTTTTTTTTTTTTTTTCCGTAACTGATGTTTCCTGTTTAATCTTTTGGGAGAACTTGAAAAGTAAAAAGTTGAATTTTCCTTTCTTTGGTTCACCAATTTTTGATACCAGGTTAATGGAAAGAAGCCAAGATCCGGGCTGGCAAAAGAACCTGTGTGTAATGTAGGGTGAGAGTAATCCCTCAGACAAAGTGCAGCTAGTCAACTGGGCATCTGAGAGTTCATAGATCCTTAGGTTTGGATCCATTAAGTTACTTAGATATCTACAGTTTTTCGACTGTGTTTGCACAATAGTGCCTCTGTCTATACAGAAATGAAATGTGTTGAATGCTATTTGAAGTCAAAACGCGTGATAAGAATGTGCTAAACATAACATTCAATTCAGCACAAAGCCCTTTGTATGGTATTTTAGTACATACAGCTTTCACCCTGAAAATGGAAGATCTGTATTCTAGGCTGCTCTTTCTAAGGGAATCCAGACCTGCAGTTCCCATGCGAGTTTCCTAACTGATTGGCCATGATCTAGCCTTCATGAATGCACTTTACATCTCTTTTTGCAGGACTATATGAAATCATGAATGTGAGATTTTAAAAAAACATAAAGAAAGCAAGCAAGCAGGAGTCATGACAGCACTCCCTTCAAGCAAAGGAGTTCTAGTCCATGCTAACTGTCTGCATAGTCATGGGCTCAGGTACTAGAAATCAGGATGCCTGCCTTTGCAGTAAATGCCTTCATTACCAGACTATAGTGTCAAGTTCTTCTTGCTTGTTATTTGTCAAAGACCCTGTGAATCTAACCTTTTCATTATAAATATGAGAGCTGAAAGGATTCAGTTTGCCTTTTTTTTGCAAGGTTGCTTTTTCGAACAAGTAATGAAAATTAACAATTCAGAAATTTCTAAAAAGAAACTACATCAATTTTAAGTGCTATAATATTTACATTACAACAATATAGAAAAAAAAACGGGCACTGCTTCTATAATCCTAGTTTGTATTGACTTAGAATATGCTGCTTAATTCTTTTTTTTATTTCCTTTCTCCACTTTGGAGCAAAATGCTTGTAAAGTTTTTTGTTATCCCTGTGGGTTAGTTGCACTGAGTGTAACTACTATTTGGCATCGTAAATAGTATTTGGTATGGAATAACAAGAAAATACCACTGTTGTGTTTGTTGCTGTTGACTTCAGTGGAAATGTTTGTCCTTGTGCATTATTCTTACAAAGCAATTGTTAGGTGTTATAAAGTGATCGATAGAATACGAAAATACAAAATATGCTAGAGCGAGATGACAACTATTTTTCTAAATACTTTAGTGTTTACAAGATGATATATGAAAGAAAAAGTAGAACTAAATCTTCAGTGACACAGTGCTAAACTGAAAACACACTGCGCTGTTTGAATTGACCTTTCATAGACCTCATCAGGTAGAGTTGAGCTGGTCAGTGAGTTCTGTAGCACACCCTACAGTATGGAAATATAAATCTTTGTTCAGCTGGGGAACAGAGCTTTCCATGACTGTCTGTGTACCAGTTCTCAGATGCAAAAAATCTAGAGATGGGTATGTGTATGATTCACTACTTGAAAGCCCGCTGCAATCTTTGACACAGTGTATTTGAAATATCTGTACCTGTTTTGGAACAATTTTCAGGTTCATGTTGGTAAATAAATCTACACATGATTACCTGTGAAGTAATCTGACAGGTATAATCGGTATTCGATGGTGTTTTTGAAAGGTCTTGAAGTACAGCACATATGGAAGACATAGGAACAGGCTTTGTCTAATGGTGATAAAAGGGTAGGTAAGTGGCAGAGACTACGCTCAAAGAAAAATATCTTTGCCAAGGAACAAGTAATGGCATTGTTGTTTAAAGTGGTTATATAGGAGCTAAAGTACTTCTAGGTTGTAGATTAAGGCCCTATAAAAAAACCACAGGAGGACTATATCAATCAAGGATATTTTGTCATGTAATCAACCTTAACGTCTTTCTTAACCTGGCCTACGTTTCAATTAAATGCATAGTTCTCATAAGAGTCCATCTTGTTAAACACAGTGGAAACGTGTGTGGAGTTGTTTGCAATTGTACAGGCTTAAAGAATATAATTTAGCCTACTTTAGAAATCACGGTGATGGCTTTCATCCAACTAGGACATAAAAAGTAAAATAAACTCTCTTGAGAGTTTTTAACCTGTCACTGCCATCTAGCGTTTATAAAGTCAACGTCGGTTTACTGAAAAGTTTAAATTCAGTTTCGTTGAATAGAATTAAAAACTGTGAGCATGTGAGAGATCTTTTAGAAGACACTAAGAATGTTTATATAGTTTTTGTTTAGCATGTGAATCACTTCAAGTGCAGGTCAAAATAATTTTTTCATGTAATCATACATGGACTTAATATGGCTAATTAAAATGATTATTAATAGGTTACCAGGTTTGTTCCTGTTACATGTTGATTATGTGTGCATGCTACTTACCTCTTGAAGAAAGTAAGCATCAATTTAGATAGTACTTCTTTTAATAACAGTTCTCAATGAGCTTAATAGTAATTTCCATATAATTTTATCATTTTTTATATATATATATAAAATGTCACTAACCTCTGTTTATAATATTAAGTAACACTCTGTAGTAACTTTGAATGAAGCAGAATCTTAACAGTGTTCAGTTGAGCTATCAGGAGATGAAAAAAGTGAATTCATTTAAGAATGGAAAACCAAATGCTTCCGAGTAAGCATCTTATTTAAATGGGATGCACAGAGTAATAGAGACACTGTCATCTTAATATCTAGTCACCTTGAAGACTGAGAGAAACTCTTTTGAGGAATTACACCTGCTGCTAGGTCTGCCTTATTATTTCTGTGGTTTTACAGCAGGGTGTATGAACCAGTTTACCTTTACAAAATGGTAATAATAATAATACTGACTGCGTTGATAGGAAGTAGTGCAAAAGTACCTGAGTAGATAATAAATTGATGCTAATAAAGCTTTGTGAGATTTTTGGATAGAATGATTAATAGCAATGTAAACAGTATTAATATATTTGACTTTCACATAGATATTTTCATTCCTCTTGACAGAGCAGTTGGTGCTCTTTCAGACAGCAAGGATTTTGTAGAAGATCTCCTGAAAGGAAAAACTGTGGATTTGTCTTTTCAAGGAATTGATCACTTCAAAAATGAAGTTGGATTTGTGAAGTTGGCAGAAAATGATCATACAGCTATACTTACGAAAATAGCAGGTACAACTTGTCAATCTAGTTTAAGTGCTTTAAAGACTTTTTGACAACCTAGATGAGAGTGGAGCACAGAGGTAAGTTGGTGCTAATTTAGTCAACATTAATTTACCTTTAAGAACTGCAAAGGCTACATGACGAATTTCTCAGCATAGTTCGAAAGGATATTAATGAATTACAGGCAGTACTGTTCTCTGATACCTTTTTATTTAGTGTACGTAAAAAATGTAGTGCAGGTTTGTAGATGGATATAAAGACTCCATTCTACTTTGTTTTGGTCCGAATACTGTCTGCTGTTTTTCAGCTGATATTTATACCCCTATCAATTTGTATATTCATACTTACTGACTTTAAGAACTGTATCTTTGATATATCTTACCTGACTTGCAGAGTTACATAGTTCTCTCCTTTGTGTTCATGCTGAGTAGAGCACTGAGAGACAGTGACATTCTTTCCTCTTCTGTGGTCTGGGAAGTCTTTTAAGTTTTGTATTTCCTATATATATACACATATCACTCTTAAATCTCAGTGAATTAACTGTAACTTACCATGTACACATGTATAAATGCATATATACATATATGCGTGTGTATATGTATGTGTATATATGTACTTTACACATACACTTCCATTTATGTATGAAGTAAAATCTGGACTTTCTCTACACTCCTGGAGGATAAGGGGAATTCAGGAGAAGGACATGACTCATCTGCCAGAGGAATGGAGTTGGATTTCATGCTGCTTTAGCCTGAAATTTTTTTTGGAGCAGTTGTGGAACCAGTCTGTGGCTTGTTCAATGTTGATTGCCTTCCTTTAGCAATTAGGAAGTTACTGAAAGATGTGACAGGTACATGCTACTATGCATGTGCACCCACATGTTCACTTCAAGAGCGAAACTCTCAGTTCTGTCTTAACAGTGGAGCTAGGCCACTGCCTTTGCCAGTCAGATAAAATGCATCCAAAGATACAGTTCAAGTCAGTAGGAATATATAAATTAAAAGGAGTGGAAATACCAGCTGAGAAACAGCAGTCACTACCTAGACCAAAACAAGGTAGAGTGGAGTTTTTTATCTGTCTGTGAGTCTATACTTAAACTATGTTGTTTACAGATATTAAATAAAAATTCTCAGAGAACAGTACTGTCTGTAATTCATTGGTGTCCTTTAAAACTATCCCGGCAATTCCAACTATTCCTTGGAAAGACTCTTTTAAAGAGTTTTTCAGTATTGATGAATTATCTTTTGTGCTCTGAGGAATGTGAGGTCACATCATTTTTTAGTAGTGCAATAGCCCATATAGGACATTTTGCAGAGTAGCAAAGACTGCTGCTGTCACGCTACCTCTTTGCAGTCCAATACAGAGAAAAATGGAAAAAGTCTGTATTAATACAGTGCTTTCTCTAGCAATTCATTAGTTTAATTTCTGAAGTGCCTTTAGAAAATATTTAGTATTTTTTAACTTACATTTTAAAGAAAGGTTGAATAGAAGACTGTGAGCTTTTCAGCTTACCAAATTGCTTATGCTGTTATTGGGCAGTGCTTTATTATTTTAAGCAGTGCTTGATAGAGAAGTATTTCTAATATTCAGTATGGGAGAAATTGAACAGTACTTACAGTTCTAGAGAGGCTTCGGTTGTCAAATAATCCCATAACTATTTCAAAGTTTGAATCTACCAAGTATTTCTTCAGTCCTTTAGATGATATGCTTCCTCATCCTTGTCTTTGAGTTTGTCTTTAGATTTCTTTTAAAGGTGACAGAATATTTTATGTATGCTGTTTTAGAAACAGTGAGATAATTTATAAAGCAAGTTCCTTTCCAATACCTCTTGTGAAAGGAGATGAATGGTTTCTGTTAGTGACAGTAACTTTTGATTTTGAGAAGTTTATAGTTAATTATTACGAACTCCAAAATAATTGAAGTTGCTAGACATGGAAAGCCAAATACCTTTTAACTACAGGAAATAAATAAGTTTGTTATGAGTGATTTTCTACACTATTGGGTTTGCGTGGCAAGGTTTTGGTAGTGGGG